AGCCTGGCCTTCTTTTTTTTTGAGCCTGGGTCTTAATCTGTTGCCTAGGCTGGAGTGCAGTGGCATGATCACGACTCACCACAACCTCAACCTCCTGGGTTCAGGCAATCCTCTCTTCTCAGCCTCCCCAGTAGATGGGACTACAGGGCAAGCACCACTGTGCCCAGCTAATTTTTTGATTTTTTGTAGAGACGAGGTCTCGCTTTGTTGCCCAGGCTGGTCTCAAACTCCTGGGCTCAAGCCATCCTCCCATCTCAGTTTCCCAAAGTGCTGGGATTACAGGCATGAACTAATGTGCCGTGCCCAAGATTCCTTTTTTTCTTTTCTTTTTCTTTGAGTTGGAGTCTCACTCTGTCGCCCAGGCTGGAGTGCAGTGGTACTCCACCGCAGCCTTGACCTGCTGGGCTCAGGAAATCCTTCTGCCTCAGCCTTCGAAGTAGCTGAGACTACAGGCGCGTGCCGCCACACGCGGCTAATTCTTTGATTTATTGTAGAGACGAGGTCTCACCAAGTTGCCCGGGCTGGACTGAAAGCCAGAGGCTCAGGCAGTCCTCTTGCCTCCGTCTCCCAAAGTTCTGGGATTACAGGGGTGAGCCACTGCGCCTGGCCTCTTTTTTTTTTTTGAGTCAGAGTCTCACTCTGTCGCCTAGGAACACTCAAGGACACCACAGCCTTGACCTGCTGGGTTCAGGCGATTCTTCTGCATCAGCCTTCCAAGTTGCTGGAACCACAGGTGTGCACCACCGTGCCTGGGTAATTTTTTTTCTTTTTTTTGCAGAGACGAGGTCTTGCTGTGTTGCCCAGGCTGGTCTCGAACTCCTAGGTTCAAGCAATCCTTCTGCCTTGGCCTCCCAAAGTGCTGGGATTACAGGCATGAGCCACTGCGCCCAACCCAAGGTTTGTGTAGAATGGGGGTCAATGGCAAGGTAGCCAGATTTCAAACATAGCCCTGTGGGCTCCAGGGCAAGTGATCCTAGACAAACCATACTGAATGCTCTTCCCATTCAGAGGCCACACTGCCAATACACAGCAGAGTCAGGATTGTAACTCGAGCTCGACTCACACAAACCTACCATCCTGTTCTGACACCAAGCTTTCCCTTTCCTCATCCGGGAAATGAGAGAAGGAAAACTTCCTGGGTCCCCAGCCCACAGAGATGAATGCTCCACCCCGAACCAAGCTTGGCAGCCAGGCCACCCGGCTTCCTGTTGGAGTGACCCGAGGCTACTCACGGGCACAGCTGAGGAGCCAGCCAGGCCTTGGGAGGCCCTTGGCTGGTCCCCTTCTCTGGAGTCCCTCCTGGGGTCAGGTAGCCACAGGCTTTTCCCTTGTGGATCTGGCCTAGACCAAATGAGTCAGGAGAACACACCCCATGGTGTGGGCAGCACAGCTTAGCACTCTTTGAGGCTCTAGGCCTCAACTTCCTGGTCTGTAAAAGAGATGCATAGTAGCACTTGGAACTGCTGTGGTCATTTTTCTCCAATCTGGCTGTTTTCCCCCCTAAGTTATGGGACAAACTGTGGAGTAACAGCGAGCATGGGTTACTACCAGTGTCACGGCTGGGAAACAGGAAGAAATCTGAGACCTGAGTCCCCAGTCACATGTTGGGACCCAACTCATCCCAGGGCCTGTTGAATCCGTCTCTCGAATGTCTCAGACCCATTCTTTCGTTTCCCCTCGGTGCTGAGTCCTGTGTCTTCACCTCTTGCCTGGATCACAGCAGACCCCTCACCCGTTCATTTCCCATCTTCTCCCCTTCACAACACCTACAGTCAGAGCAAGCTTCTAGGACAAAACAATGAATCTGAACGGGTCACTCTCCGGCTCAAAACCCAGTGGTGGTTCCCTCCTGGCTCTGGTCTACAAGATGCTGCAAGATCTGGCCCGTCCAGCGCCATCCCTTAACCTCAGCACTTTGTGGGGGGCAAGCGGGAGGCTCGCTTGAACCCGGGAGTTCGAGACCCCGTCTCTCTAAAAACAAATACAAAAATAAGTCGCCACAGTGCAGCCGGGCGCAGGCGCCGTAAACTCTGTGGGCCCTGTGCTCTCGGGCCACCAGGCCTCTGTCAGCTCCCTCGGCCTGGACTCCGCCACACTCGGCCTGGATCCCGCAGCTGACTCGGGCCGCCTGGTTCGAGCCGCCTTCTCTCGAAGCCCCCCGGTCCGCGGCATCAGGCGCCTCCCCGAGCTCGCCCAGCCCTCCATGGGTCTCCAACCAAAGCCCGTCTCCGCCAGATGCGTCACTGCCTCGTCTCTCGCTGCTCCTCCACCGAGTCCTGGGCCGGGAGCGGCCGCCGAGGACGGCCAGGTTCCCCGCGAGGTCCCAGCCCGGCTCAGAGCGGACGGCGCCTGTGCATCTGGGGCCCGGACGAGTGCACAACACGCCCGGGCCGGGAGGCGCGAGGCTCCCCGGTGGCCTCTGCGCCCGGAGCGGGCGGAGTCGTCCTTGAGAGCAGCCTCCACCAGGCACGGAAACAAAAGGCTGAGATAACAGCTGGGAACGCTGCAAGCCGGGGCACGGACGGCGTGCACAGCTCCAAGCCACCTCCGCGAAGCCTTCCAGACCTGCTCTCCTCAGCGCGGAGAACGAGAGATCGGAGGCCGCAGAGCAGCCCGGGCTTCGACTCTGGGCGTCCGTTTCCTGAGAAACGGGCCCGATTCGCGCTCGGCGGGCTCGTCTGCCAGGACTCTGGAAGGCCGTCCTAGCCAGTTTCCAAACTGTCTCTCCTCGTCATCGTTCCTTCCTTCCGGCCGCTCGCGCCTCGCCCCCC